GGGTGCCGGGCGTGGTGGGGGCGTGGTGTGGGGCGTGGTGGGGGGTGTCGGTCAGGTTTGGGCGAGAAATTGTCGCGTGGGGGGTCCGGAGAACTGAGCTCGCATAGGATTTTGGATGGTGGGGGGCCGCGGTGGGGGCGTGGTGTGGGCGCGGGGGAATGTGGCGGTGCGGGTGCCGCGCCGTGGTGGGGGCGTGGTGGGGGCGTGGTGGGGGGTGTCGGTCAGTTCTGGGCATAATTTGTCGCGTGGGGGGTCCCAAGACTTGAGCTCGCGAGGGGTTCTGGATGGCGGGGGGCCGCGGTGGGGGCGCGGTGACGGCGGGGGGGGTGGGAGTGGCAGCGCGGACGCCTGGCCGTGGTGGAGGCGTGGTGGGGGCGTGGTGGGGGGTGTCGGTCAGTTCTGGGCGAGAAATTGTCGTGCGGGGGGGTCCCAAGAGCTGAGCTCGCGTGGGATTCTGGATGGTGGAGGGCCGCGGTGGGGGCGTGGTGAGAGCGGGGGGGGGTAGCGGTGCGGGTGCCGGGCCGTGGTGGAGCGCGGTGGGGGCGTGGTGGGGGGTGTCGGTCAGGTCTGGTCGAGAGAGTGTCGCGTGGGGAGTCCCAAGGGTTGAGCTCGCGTGGGATGCTGGATGGTGGAGGGTCGCAATGGGAGCGCGGTGTGGGCGCGAGGGGGGGGGGGAGGTGCTGGGCCGCGGCGGGGGCGTGGTGGGAGCGTGGCGGGGGGGTCGGTCAATGATGGGCGAAATTTTGTCGTGCGGGGCGGTCCCAAGAACTGAGCTCGCGTGGGATGGCGGGGGGCCGCGGTGGGGGCGCGGTGAGGGCGGGGGAAGGGGAGTGGCGGTGCGGGTGCCGGGCCGTGGTGGAGGCGTGGTGGTGGCGTGGTGGGGGGTGCGGTCAGTTCTGGGCGAGAAATTGTCGTGGGGGGGTCCGGAGAACTGAGCTCGCGTGGATTCTTGATGGTGGGAGCTGCGGCGGGGCGCGGTGAGGGCGGGGAGGTGCGCGGCGGTGCGGGCGCCGGGCCGTGGTGAAGGCGCGGGGGGGGGGGGGGCGCGGGTGCTGGGCCGTGGCGGGGGCGTGGCGGGGGAGGTCGGTCAGGCATGGGCAAGAAATTGTCGCGTGTGGGGTCCCAAGAACTGAGCTCGCGAGGGATTCTGGATGGTGGGGAGCTGCGGTGGGGGCGCGGTGAGGGCGGGTGGGGGCGCGGCGGCGCGGGCGCCGGGCCGTGGTGGAGGCGTGGTGGGGGCGTGGTGGGGGGCATCGGTCAGTTATGAGCGAGAGATTGTCGCGTGGGGGGTTCCAAGAATTGAGCTCGCGTGGGATGCTGGATGGCGAAGGGCCGCGGTGGGAGCGCGGTGAGGACGCGGGGGGGGAGGTGGCGGTGCGGGTGCCGCGCCGCGGTGGGAGCGCGGTGGGGGCGCGGTGGGGGGCGTCGGTCCCCCAGGAATTGAGCTCGCGCGGAATCCTGGATGGTGGGGGGCCGCGGTGGGGGCGTGGTGTGAGCGCGGGGGAAGGTGGCAGTGCGGGTGCCGCGCCGCGGTGGGGGCGCGGTGGGGGGCGTCGGTCAGTTCTGGGCGAGAAATTGTCGCGCGGGGGTTCCCGCGACCTGAGCTCGCGCGGGATTTTGGATGGTCTCATGGGATGGGGGCGCCGGCACCTAGCGGGGGGAACTGGCCGGGCTTGGGCGCAGAATCGTCTCGTTGGAAGGCCCCGCGGGGGGGGGCAAGAAGAGAGGTCTCATGGGATTGGGGCGCGGGGACCTGGCGGGGGGACGCGGTCGCTTTGGCGGAGAAATCGTCGCGCGGGGGGGGCCCAAGAACAGAGGTCTCATGGGATGGGAATGCCGGGGCCTGGTGGGGGGGCGCGGTCGGCTTTGGACGAGAAGTCGTCGCGTGGGGAACCCAAGGACAAAGGTCTCATGGGGCGGGGGTGCCGGGGCCTGGCGTGGGGACCTGGTGTGGGGACGTAGTCGGCGTTGGGCGAGAAATCGTCGCGTGGGGGGTCCCAAGAACAGAGGTCCCACGGGATGGGGGTGCCGGGACCTGGTGGAGGGGCGCGATCGGTTTTGGGCGAGAAATCGTCGAGTGGGGGGTCCCAAGAACAGAGGTCTCACGGGATGGGGATGGCGAAACTTGGCGGGGGACCTGGCGGGGGGCGCGTGGTCGGTTTTGCGCGAGAAATCGCCGCGTGGGGGGTCCCAAGAACAGACGTTTCACGGGATGGGGATGCCGGGACCTGGCGGGGGGACGCGGTCGGTTCTGGGCGAGAAATCGTCGCGTGGGGGTCCCAAAAACAGAGGTCCCATGTGATCGGGATGGCGGGGGACCTAGTGGGGGGACTTGGTGGGGGGACGTGGTCGGTTGCGGGCGAGGAATCGTCGCGCGGGGGGTCCCAAGAACAGAGGTCTCATGGGATGGGGGTGCCGGGACCTGGTGGAGGGACGCGTTCGGTCTTGGGCGAGGAATCGTCGCGCGGGGGTCCCAAGAACAGAGGTCTCATGGGTTGGGGATGCTGGGACCTGGCGGGGAGAGCGTGATCGGTTTTGGGCGAGAATTCGTCGGGTAGGGCGCTCCTAGAAGCGAGGTCTCATGGGATGGGGGTGCCGGGACCTAGCGGGGGGAAAGGGCCCGGTTTGGGCGAGGAGTCGTCGCGTTGCAAGATCCGAAGAACAGAGGTCTCATGGGATTTGGTGGGGGGACGTGGTCATCGCGTGGGAGGTCCCAAGAAGACAGGTCTCATGGGATGGAGGTGCCGGGACCTGGTGGGGGGACGTGGTCGGTTTCGGGCGAGAAATCGTCGCGTGGGGGGTCCCAAAAACAGAGGTCTCATGGGATGGGGTGCCGGGACCTGGTGGAGGGACGTGGTCGGTTGTGGGCGAGAAATCGTCGCGAGGGGGGTCGGGCCCGGTTTTGGACGAGAAATCGTGGCGTTGGAAAGTCCGAAGAACAGAGCTGCCGTGGAGTGGAGCGGCAGGGGGGCGGGGCGAAAGACAGTGACTGGGACATGTGCGTGTTTGTTGCCAAGGTCGGTCGCACACGCCTCTTGGGGTCGGCGGATTTCAGGCGGCATGCGTTTGGTGGAACTTGTCCAGCAACGGAGTCGACTGATCCTGGAGAGGGAGAAGGGGATAATGAGAGAGAGGGCGAGGGGGAGGGAGAGGGAGGGGGATATCGAAAGGGAAAGGGAGCGGGATATCAAACGAATGAGAGTGAGAGACAGACAGACAGAGAACAAGCAAAAACACAAGAACAACAACAACAACAACAACAAACAAAACAAACCCAACAGCACAAACAATAAAAACAATAGTAACAAAACAACCACAACCACAGCCGCAACCAACACTACCACCACCGACAACAAAAGCACCAACAACTGCATTGGCGACAATAACAACAACAGCAGCAACAACAGTAAACAATGATATTGGTCGTTCTTGTCCGGTCGGGTTCTATTCAACGCGTATGTCCCAAATTTTCGATACCCGCCCTCTGAACGTACTCCCACTGGGGGTACAGTGGAGGCCCATGCCAAGAAACACCCTGCTTGCCTTCAGGGTGCCTTGGGTTTCTTGGGTTTCGATGGTTTTGCTTTGGAAGGCGTTGCGTTCCCACGCCAAAAATCAATGGACGTCCTGGGGTCTCAGGGTTGGGTGTCTTGTGGAAGGTTTCTTGTGGAGTTGCCTCCGTTGTATGTATCCTTTTTACCTGCACCGCCCAGTTCGTGCAGCCCACAAAGCTGAGGAAGAGTGGACGGATGGAGGGAAAGGACAAGGGGCAGGTGGGTTGCTGAAGGGTGCGCCCTGCATGAGTCGCGAGGAACTCTCGAGCGATAGCGCGATTCCCAAGTAGATCGGGGGAAATCCACAGCGAGAGCATAAGATGTTTGAGTGTCGAAGGCGCGGCGTCCGAATAAGTTGCGAGAAAGTCCTTCGCGAGAGCGCGATTCCTGTACACAGTGAGGAAACCCCGCGCGAGAGCACGATTTTCTAATGAACTGTGAGGAAGTATCAGGCGGGATCCGCTGTTGCTGCAGACAGACGGGCAAAGACATAATTTAGTGACACTGCACGTGTCTTTTGAACAAACGGGTGCGAGCCCCGGGATAAGCACTTTAATAAAAATGCAGATTGATTACCGGAGGGGAGCCAGCAAGAACAACAACAATCATGTGACAGTTTTTCGTTCTTTTTTGTTCGCGTTCCATTCAACACATATATCCAACATCCTCGATACCCGCCCCAAATCATGAAGATCATACCGCTTGAGGGGTTTTACTTCTTGCCTGCCACATGTACTTCGAGCAGCCCATAAGGCAGAGAAAGAGAGGACGGATGGAAGGAATGGACACTTCGCCGGGCTATTTGTTTGTCATCTGTCCAGGTGCCCGAGGAACTGTCATGCATTTGGGCGCGCGAGCGCTTCGTTTACAACCCGCCGTGGACCGCACAACTTGATTGTGTGGTGCATGTCTGAACGGAATGACGCCCGAGACGAATATTGAGCGTAGCCCCGCTCCTTGGCCCGCTCCGCCTCCCCGTATTCTTGGCCGTGGTGGTGAGTCCATGAGGCACGCGGCCACCAGGGCAGACTACGGAGTCGGCATTTTTCAGTTGTTCTGCATGTTCTGACGGCGATGTGGTTTCTGTCATATGTACCAGTTGCCGATAGAGGATGAGTGGGGGTGGGGTGTACTGCGGGTGCACGGCTGATTGTTTTGTAACGTGTTGTGGATCGGGCGTGTTGACGGTGTTGCGTATGTTCGAACGCAGTTGCGTTCGAAATGATCAGCGTTTGAGTGCAGAATCTCGGAACATCCATTTTGCCGCCCGTGGTGTTGCCAGATTGTGTGTTGTGTGTTGGCGGCAGTGTTTGTATGATTTGTTTCATGTTGAGCGCGTGCGTTGCAAGTTCAACGCATATGCTATTTGTTTCATGTAATGTGATGCCTCGCTCCCGCATGGTGTACCAGTTGTATAATAACGTGTCTCGAACATGTTCTGCGCAGATACTGTTATTCGCCATCTTGATCTCGCTTCTGAGCATGAGGCACCACCCTGCTCAGGAGCGGAGATCGGGCCAGGGATGCCACGTTGAGGACGGTGGTGACGACGAGGAGAGCAGAAGTTAGTAGATGTCTGCATTACGTGCGTTGCACCATTATGGTGTAAACGAGATAAATGGACGAGTCGGAGGCAGACGTGATTGTTTGTTCTTGGACCGCAGCGAAACATCGATGCCGTGAAGCACGCGGTTTAGGTGATCTTGCCCGTTGTACCAGTAGCATATACAGACCCGTGCACTTCGCTCAACAAGCCCGTAATGCGAGTGTCCTTAGTTCTCACTTCCTTCTGTCCCTCAGCCCACTCTCTCGCTCACTGTTCCTCTTTCCCTTCTTGCTTGCTCTCTTTCTGTCTCTCTCTCTCTCTCTCTATCTCTCGTTTTTGTTTGTGTTCTCTCTCTCTCTCTCGTTTTCTCGTTCCGCCAGGGCCTCGTGCTCCTTCCTCTCGCATGAGCGTGATGCGAGCTGACATGGCATGTCTTGCCAGTTCATGAAGTGGGGCAGGGATTGGGGGGGAGGTGGGGAGACAGGGATGCAAAGGCGGGGAGGGTGCAGGAAGGGAGATGGAGGAGGTGGAGGGAGGGCGGAGAGAGGGAAAATTGAGCCAAGAGGCAGCGATGAACGAAGAGGAAAGAGGCACCACGCCAAGACAGAGGAAAGAGGAGGGACGGAGGGAGAAGAGAGGATATATAGAGAAGGGAGAGAGAGAGAGAGAGATATACAACTTTGTATATGTATATGTAAATGTATATGCTAACATATATAATTCAACAAATACGCCGCCACTTCCCGGGAGCGTCCTCCACCTCCGTGACATTTGGGGGCAACTCCCGGTACTACGCCCCCGGGCCTCTTAGGGAGGCCCCAAACCGCCACAGGAGCGGACGGGTGGCCGTTGCCGACGGGGTTTGGAGCGATTGGTTTGTCGGACGGAGTTCGTGAAGCACGCGGACGCTGGGGAGGAGTTGTTACACGAACGACAGCTTCTCGGTGATATGACAGTTGGCCTGGTGACGTCAGCCAACTCAGAAAACGACGCGTGTGGTGAGGACTACGGTGATGCTGCGACGTTTGAGCTGGTGAGGTTCCCCAGTGACAACGGGGAGATGCCGCTCGGGTTCGTGGGGGCTGCCCTGCACCGCTTCCGGGCGGCGCCGACCGACAGCAAAGTACAGCTGTTCCTGACGGAGGCCCAAGCGGTGGTTACCCTTCGCCCCCCAGCGGCCGCAGCCGCCCCAGGGGTTGCCGCCGCCGCGCCCGTCGCGGGCGGCGCTGCGGCGGACGCGGGCGCGGCCGAGGGCGGCGCCCCGGCCGCCGCGCCCAGTTGGGTGCTCGCCGAGCACGTCGAGGGACACAGCATCGGAGAGACCGTGACGCTTGCACCTGGTGCGGCGGTGGTGAACGACAGCGCGCTGATTGGGTTGCCAGGGATGGCCAACCCTGGGCCCGTGCTGGTCTGGCGCTTGAACAACTACCAGGCCGAGATCGACTGTTTCTGCGAGTCCAGGATCAAGTGGTGCCGGAGTGCCTCCGCAACTCATGGCAATGACCAGGCCGCGGGCGACGACGTGCGCGCGCAGTCCGCGGTGCATGGCGCTGACGGGCAGCGGGGGCGGGGCACCAGATAATCCGCGCAGGAAATGACCTCGACGGATTTTGACGGCTTCCCGCTCTGTGGTCCGCGCGCGGCCGAGTGGCATTGCCGTGGGGCGATAAAGATGGCCGAAGGTTATCGAGCCCAACACTCCAGGTGGCTGGTCGAGGCCAAGATTCCGGACGAAGATCGCTCGATCCATGAGGACGCCAACCTCGCGCTCACCCAGGAACTCGCGGCGACGCACGACGGCCTCAACGTCGTGAACTTGCATGGGGGCGGCGGTCAGGGGGCGCCGGCTCATCGCCCAGGCGCGCCGCGCAAACCCGTCAGCGCCGAGATACGTGGTGGCCTCCGGGATGGTCTCCGGGATGGAGGCGCGCTTGCGGCCGACCGCGCTTGCCTCGCGCGTCTCGGAGCGTCTCCGGGCCGAGGCGGCGATCGCAACGGAGAAGCGGAAGGCGTCTGAGGATCGGGCGCCGCGCAAGGGGCCCACGGGGGGGGGCCGCGGCGCAGGCGGCCACGCCGCCGGGGATAAGTAGCGGCGTCGAAGCTGGGGGTCTGGAGTAGCCCACCGTGACCTTCGACAGCAATGGGCCTCGGCGGCGCCGACAAGCATGGCGGAGGTGCTCGAGCTGCCAGCTGAACCTCTTGAGCGTTTTGGGTGGAGGGGGGCGCCCCTTCGAGGCCGCGCGACATCTCCCCGCTGCCCCGCCTCGCCGTTCGGCCCTTGGGCGGGAGAGGCTCGATGTGCTGATCGACTGCGCGGCGCGCCCCACGCCGGTCGGCTGTCGCCGAGGCGGCCGACGCGTCGGTCGACGCCCTGAGTTCCACGCACTTCGGCGCCCGGGA